GTGAAAACCTCCTTCCATCAGCAAGGGCATTGAAGATGAAACGTGGCTGGGTCTTTCAGCATGACAATGATCCCAAACACACCGCCCGGGCAACGAAGGAGTGGCTTCGGAAGAAGCATTTCAAGGTCCTGGAGTGGCCTAGCCAGTCTCCAGATCTCAACCCCATAGAAAATCTTTGGAGGGAGTTGAAAGTCCGTGTTGCCCAGCGACAGCCCCAAAACATCACTGCTCTAGAGGAGATCTGCATGGAGGAATGGGCCAAAATACCAGCAACAGTGTGTGAAAACCTTGTGAAGACTTACAGAAAACGTTTGACCTGTGTCATTGCCAACAAAGGGTATATAACAAAGTATTGAGAAACTTTTGTTATTGACCAAATACTTATTTTCCACCATAATTTGCAAATAAATTCATTAAAAATCCTACAATGTGATTTTCTGGATATTTTTTTCTCATTTTGTCTGTCATAGTTGACGTGTACCTATGATGAAAATGACAGGCCTCTCTCATCTTTTTAAGTGGGAGAACTTGCACAATTGGTGGCTGACTAAATACTTTTTCCCCCCACTGTATATATATATATATATATATATATATATATATATATATACACACAGCTGCGTAAAAAATTAATAGACCACTGCAAAATTATCAGTTTCTCTGGTTTTACAATTTATATGTATGTGTTTGGGTAAAAATAACATTTTTGTTTTATTCTATAAACTACTGACAACATTTCTCCCAAATTCCAAATAAAAATATTGTCATTTAGAGCATTTATTTGCAGAAAATGACAACTGGTCAAAAGAACAAAAAAGATGCAGTGTTGTCAGACCTCGAATAATGCAAAGAAAATAAGTTCATGTTAATTTTTAAACAACACAATAGTAATGTTTTAAGTTAGGAAGAGTTCAGAAATCAATATTTGGTGGAATATCCCTGATTTTCAATCACAGCTTTCATGCGTCTTGGCATGCTCTCCACCAGTCTTTCACATTGATGTTGGGTGACTTTCTGCCACTCCTGGTGCAAAAATTCAAGCAGCTCTGCTTTGTTTGATGGCTTGTGACCATCCATCTTCCTCTTGATCACATTCCAGAAGTTTTCAATGGGGTTCAGGTCTGGAGATTGGGCTGGCCATGACAGGGTCTTGATCTGGTGGTCCTCCATCCATACCTTGATTGACCTGGCTGTGTGGCATGGCGCATTGTCCTGCTGGAAAAACCAATCCTCAGAGTTGGGGAACAATGTCAGAGCAAAAGGAAGCACGTTTTCTTCCAGGACAACCTTGTACGTGTCTTGATTCATGCGTCCTTCACAAAGACAAATCTGCCCGATTCCAGCCTTGCTGAAGCACCCCCAGATCATCACCGATCCTCCACCAAATTTCACAGTTGGTGCGAGACACTGTGGCTTGTAGGCCTCTCCAGGTCTCCGTCTAACCATTAGACGACCAGGTGTTGGGCAAAGCTGAAAATTGGACTCATCAGAGAAGATTACCATACTCCAGTCCTCTACGGTCCAATCCTTATGGTCTTTTGCAAACCTCAGCCTGGCTCTTCTTTGCTTCTCATTGATGAAGGGCTTTTTTCTAGCTTTGCACGACTTCAGCCCTGCCCCTAGGAGCCTGTTTCGTACCGTCCTCGCCGTGCATTTCACCCCAGCTGCCATTTGCCTTTCTTTTTGTAGGTCACTTGATGTCATCCTACGGTTGTTGAGTGACATTCGAATGAGTTGGCGGTCATCCCGGTCAGTAGAGAGTCGTTTTCGCCCTCTGCTGGTCTGTAGCTTTGTTGTCCCCAATGTCTGCTGCTTGACCTTGTTCTTATAAACCGCCAAATCTTTGACTTTTTAAGGATGGAAGCAACCTGACGCTCACTGTATCCCTCTGCCAGTAAAGCCAGAATTGAACCCTTCTTTTCCTCACTCAAAATTATTTTTTGATTAATATTACTTTTGAGGTACTGTTTTTGCCATCCAGCAGGTCCTATTACAAGAGGATAGTGATGACCACAGCAGTGGTTTTGATACTTTTCCTCGTTAAATGAGATTTGGTTCATGTGATCACCTATTCAGTACCTAATTCAGTAGAATGAGGTGTGCCTGTGTTGGAATTCAACAGACACTGGACTGGAATGGCTGTCATACAGGTAGAGATGCTGATTTAAGAAACATTTGCAGTGGTCTCTTAATTTTTTCCACAGCTGTATATACAGTACCAGTCAAAAGTTTGGACACACCTACTCATTCAAGGGTTTGTAGAATAATAGTGAAGACATCAAAACTATGAAATAACACATATGGAATCATGTAGTAACCAAAAAAGTGTTAAACAAATCAAAATATTATTTTATATTTGAGATTCTTCAAATAGCCACCCTTTGCCTTTATGACAGCTTTGCACACTTTTGGCATTCTCTCAACCAGCTTCACCTGGAATGCTTTTCCAACAGTCTTGAAGGAGTTCCCACATATGCTTAGCACTTGTTGGCTGCTTTTCCTACACTCTGCCGTCCGACTCATCCCAAACCATCTCAATTGGGTTGAGTTCGGGGGATTGTGGAGGCCAGGTCATCTGATGCAGCACTCCATCACTCTCCTTCTTTGTAAAATAGCCCTTACACAGCCTGGAGGTGTGTTGGGTCATTGTCCTGTTGAAAAACAAATGATAGTTCCACTAAGCCCAAACCAGATGGGATGGTGTATCGCTGCACCAGCAAAGCACCCCCATGTAAGGGTTGGTGTGAGGTGTGACCCAGGTGCGGTGCAGAATAAACAGTAGGCAGTAGGCAGAGATGGTGAAACAAGGTTCTTTACTGGTGGTCCCGAAGCCAGGATACAAAATAACGGACTTATCACGATAAAAGAAAGGTTGAGCAAATAAGTCTCCAAAAACAGGCTGACAGCCAAAATACGAAATACTAACTACGACTGAAACAAATAAAGAAACAGGGAGAACACTTCTCAAGTACCTGTAAATATGTCTCCAATCAGACACTGATTAGTACTGCTGGGCATAGAGAAACTAGAAGAGAAAACTGAGCAAGGGAACGCAGGGAAGTGAGGGCATAAATACAAAGGTGAACAGTTAGACACAGGTGACACCAATAGGATCATGATTAGTCCAGACTGTGAGTGAGGAGGTGCCTAAAGTTGTCGGATGAGGACACCTAGTGGGTCGCTCCGGAACTGCGACCCCCTCCTGTAACACCCCTACACCATAACACCTCCTCCTCCATGCTTTACGGTGGGAACTACACATGCGGAGATCATCCGTTCACCCACACCACGTCTCACAAAGACACGGCGGTTGGAACCAAAAATCTCCAATTTGGACTCCAGACCAAAGGACACATTTCCACCGGTCTCATGTCCATTGCTAGTGTTTCTTGGCCCAAGCACATCTCTTCTTATTATTGGTGTCCTTTAGTAGTGGTTTCTTTGCAGCAATTCAACCATGAAGCCATATCTCAGACTGGCCAATAAAAAGAAAAGATGAAGATGGGCAAAAGAACACAGACACTGGACTTCTTTGCAACTCTGCCTAGAAGGTCAGCATCCCGGAGTCGCCTCTTCACTGTTGACGTTGAGACTGGTGTTTTGCGGGTACTATTTAATGAAGCTGCCAGTTGAGGACCTGTGAGGCGTCTGTTTCTCAAACTAGACACTAATGTATTTGTCCTCTTGCTCAGTTGTGCACCGGGGCCTCCCACTCCTCCTTCTATTCTGGTTAGAGCCAGTTTGCGCTGTTCTGTGAAGGGAGTATTACACAGCGTTGTACGAGATCTTCAGTTTCTTGGCAATTTCTCGCATGGAATAGCCTTCATTTTTATTTATTTAACCTTTATTTAACTAGGTAAGTCAGTTAAGAACAAATTCTTATTTACAATGACGGCCTACACCGGCCAAACCCGGTTGTCCGTAGCTAATGCCTGCCCCACACCATAACCATACTGCCGCCTTGGGGCACTCTGTTCACAATATTGCAAACTGCTCGCCCACACGACGCCACAGATTAATCCGTGAAGAGCACACTTCACCAGCGTGCCAGTAGCCATCGAAGGTGAGCATTTGCCCACTGAAGTCGCCGAACTGCAGTCAGGTCAAGACCCTGGTGAGGACGACGAGCATGCAGATGAGCTTCCTTGACAGTTTGTGCAGAAATTATTTGGTTGTGCAAACCCACAGTTTCATCAGCTGTCCGAGTGGCTCGTCTCAGACCATCCCGCAGGTGAAGAAGCCGGATGTGGAGATCCTGGGATGGCATGGTTATACGTGGTCTGCGGTTGTGAGTCCGGTTGGATGCACTGCCACATTCTCTAAAACGACGTTGGAGGCGGCTTATAGTAGAGAAATTATCTGGCAACATTCCTGCAGTCAGCATGCCAATTGCATGCTCCCTCAAAACATGAGACATCTGTGGCATTGTGTTGTGTGACAAAACTGCACATTTTAGAGTGGCCTTTTATTGTCCCCAGCACAAGGTGCACCTTTGTAATGATCATGCTGTTTAATTCGCTTATTGATATGCCACACCTGTCAGGTGGATGGATTATCTTGGCAAAGGAGAAATGGTCACTAACAGGGATGTAAAGAAATATGTGCACAACATTTTAGATAAATAAGGTTTTTGTGCATATGGAAACTTTCTGGGATCTTTTATTTCAGCTCATTAAACATGGGACCAACTCTTTATATGTTGCGTTTATATTTTTGTTCAGTGTATTTATTTTATACAATATTTTTTGCTCATCTTTATCAAGTGGGGCCAATATTTTGGACCTGACTGTATATATTTATGATATATGATATTGAAGTAATAGGAGGGATAGGGAAGCGAACCCAGGTCGCTGGCGTGAAAGGCATCCTACACATCGCACCAATAGGATTAACCCACTTGGTGGGAATTGTAATGTGGCTCATATAGTATCGCTATAATATTGCTGTCTCTCCTCTCCCAGGTGCCCCTGAGCCCAGAGTGCATGCGTGCCATCATGAAGATGACGTACTGTCCCCACTGCCGTGGAGTGCCCTCTGCCAGGCCCTGTGCCAACTACTGTGCCAACGTGCTGAAGGGCTGCCTCGCTAACCAGGCCGACCTGGACACAGAGTGGAGGAACTTGGCTGGTGAGACATATAAAACACACACGCGCATGACACATACACACACACACGCACACATGACACATACACACACGCACACATTTGCACACTAATTTCATTTGAATGCCTACAGTGACTTCAGAAAGTATTCATACCCTTTGACTTTTTCCACAATTTGTTGTGTTACAGCCTGAATTTAATGTGTCACTATGTGATTTTGTGTCACTGGCCTACACACAATACCCCATCATGTCAATGTGAAATTATGTTTTTAGATAATTTTTTGTATGAATTAAAACTGTAAAGCTGAAATATTTTGAGTCAATAAGTATTCAACCCCTTTGCTATGGCAAGCCTAAATAAGTTCAGGATTACAAATGTGCTTAACAAGTCACATAATACGTTGCATGGACACTAATAAAGTTTAACATGATTTTTGAATGACTACCTCATCTCTGTACCCCACACATGCAATTATCTGTAAGGTCACTCAGTCGAGCAGTGAATTTCAAACACAGATTCAACCACAAAGACCAGGGAGGTTTTCCAATGCCTATCAAAGAAGGGCATATATTGGTAGATGGGGGGAAAAAAAGCAAACATTGAATATCCCTTTGAGCATTGTGAAGTTATTAATTACACTTTGGATGGTGTATCAATACACCCAGTCACTACAAAGATACAGGTGTCCTTCCTAACTCAGTTGCCTTAGACGAAGGAAATCGCTCAACGATTCCACCATGAGGCCAATGGTGACTTTAAAACAGTGACAGTTAATGGATGTGATAGGAGAAAATTGAGGATAGATCAACGACATTGTACTCCACAGTACTAACCTAAATGACAGAGTGAAAAGAAAGAAACCTATACAGAATACAATATTCCAAAACAAGCACTAAAGTAAAACTGCAAAAAAGTTGGCAAAGAAATGAACTTTATGTCCTGAACACAAACCATTATGTTTGGGGCAAATCCAACACAACACATCACTGAGAACCACTCTTCATATTTTCAAGCATGGTGCTGGCTGCATCATTTTATGGGTATGCTTGTCATCGGCAAGGACTATGGAGTTTTTTAGGATAGAGCTAAGCACAGGAAAACCTGGTTCAGTCTACTTTCCAACAGACACTGGGAGACAAATTCACCTTTCAGCAGGAGAATACCCTAAAACACAAGACCAAATATACACTGGAGTTGGCTACCAAGACAACATTGAATGTTCCTGAGTGGCCTAGTTACAGTTTTGACTTAAATTGGCTTGAAAAGCTATGGCAAGACTTGAAAATGGCTGTCTAGTAATGATCAACAACCAACTTGACAGAGCTTGAAGAATAATGTGCAAATATTGTACAATCCAGTTGTGCAAAGTTCTTCGAGACTTACCCAGAAAGACTCGCAGCTGTAATCGCTGCCAAAGGTGATTCTAACATGTCAGGGGTGTGAATACTTATGTAATAATTACAGTATGTTCATTTTCAATACATTTGCAAAAACACTCTAAAAACATGTTTTCACTTTGTCATTATGGGATATTGTAGGTAGATGGGTGAGAAAAAATAATACATTGAATCCATTTTGAATTCAGGCTGTAACACAACAAAATGTGGGATAAGTCAAGGGTATGAATACTTTTTGAAGGCACTGTATAAGCATGTATTCCCATTTAAAATATTGTATCCCCTCCCTCTCGCTCTCTCTGTAGATGCCATGCTGCAGGTGGCTAACAGGTTTGAGGGTGCGTCCAGTGTGGATGTGGTGTTCCGCTCTCTACCCACACACATGTCAGAGGCTATCACCACCATGATGGACAACATAGACACGTTTAACAACAAGGTCAGAACAGCAGTCAGCACATGCACGCACGCACACATACTGATGTACTTACCCACGCACGCATGCACGCAAACACACTTGCCACACACACACACACTCACACATGCACATACAGATATGCTAGCGCCAGTTCACACATTCAAATATTATTACCGATCACTGATAGTGTTGATCAGGGCTCATAACACATATTCATAACCTGATGTTGATCCCTGTACTGATTTAATGTAATAATGTTCCACAGACCAGGGGCCTCATTTATAAATTGTGCGTACATACAATGTATACCCCAAAATGTACGTGCGCCAGTTTTCACGCAAAAGTTGGCATTTATAAAAACGGAACTTGACGTGGGAATGTGCTTAGCTTCCCGCAAACTTTAGGCCATGCGTACGCACAGTTTCTAGTGGTTGAAGTATTGCTTTGCAAGCAGGCAAGTAGCCTAGTATTTTGTGCAAATGGGGGATATGATGACACGCTTATTCAAAACAAACAAAAGCAGGTAAATATAATAACAAGATGCAATCATTTGCCGTTAGTGAGAAGAGCGAAGATAAACAATTTTTTTTGCATCTAAAATAGTTACAAATAGGCATCTATTTCGTATTTGATTTCCATGAGAATTGCAGAATAAATTCCTAATCTTTTCTGACTGTGATGGTTTCATACTAGCGAAGTAGCTTATAGGTCTACAACATCCCATCTCTTATTTAACTGGACCCACTTGACAGTAGTAAATAGATCAACTATACTGTATTCAAGTATTTTGCTCTATGGTAGAACAGACGGTTCAACTTTTTTATTTACGTTTTTTTTTTGGATACTGTACGTCTGAATAGCCTACTGTAATTTCAAATGTCTCAAGTAAATATAAACATAATACAGTGGGGGAAAATTGTATTTAGTCAGCCACCAATTGTGCAAGTTCTCCCACTTAAAAAGATGAGAGAGGCCTGTAATTTTCATCATAGGTACACGTCAACTATGACAGACAAAATGAGGGAAAAAAATCCATAAAATCACATTGTAGGATTTTTTATGAATTTATTTGCAAATCATGGTGGAAAATAAGTATTTGGTCAATAACAAAAGTTTCTCAATACTTTGTTATATACCCTTTGTTGGCAATGACACAGGTCAAACGTTTTCTGTAAGTCTTCACAAGGTTTTCACACACTGTTGCTGGTATTTTGGCCCATTCCTCCATGCAGATCTCCTCTAGAGCAGTGATGTTTTGGGGCTGTCGCTGGGCAACACGGACTTTCAACTCCCTCCAAAGATTTTCTATGGGGTTGAGATCTGGAGACTGGCTAGGCCACTCCAGGACCTTGAAATGCTTCTTCCGAAGCCACTCCTTCGTTGCCCGGGCGGTGTGTTTGGGATCATTGTCATGCTGAAAGACCCAGCCACGTTTCATCTTCAATGCCCTTGCTGATGGAAGGAGGTTTTCACTCAAAATCTCACGATACATGGCCCCATTCATTCTTTCCTTTACACGGATCAGTCGTCCTGGTCCCTTTGCAGAAAAACAGCCCCAAAGCATGATGTTTCCACCCCCATGCTTCACAGTAGGTATGGTGTTCTTTGGATGCAACTCAGCATTCTTTGTCCTCCAAACACGACGAGTTGAGTTTTTACCAAAAAGTTCTATTTTGGTTTCATCTGACCATATGACATTCTCCCAATCCTCTTCTGGATCATCCAAATGAACTCTAGCAAACTTCAGACGGGCCTGGACATGTACTGGCTTAAGCAGGGGGACACGTCTGGAACTGCTCACCGTTCTTGTGATCATTTTGACCCCACGGGGTGAGATCTTGCGTGGAGCCCCAGATCGAGGGAGATTATCAGTGGTCTTGTATGTCTTCCATTTCCTAATAATTGTTCCCACAGTTGATTTCTTCAAACCAAGCTGCTTACCTATTGCAGATTCAGTCTTCCCAGCCTGGTGCAGGTCTACAATTTTGTTTCTGGTGTCCTTTGACAGCTCTTTGGTCTTGGCCATAGTGGAGTTTGGAGTGTGACTGTTTGAGGTTGTGGACAGGTGTCTTTTATACTGATAACAAGTTCAAACAGGTGCCATTAATACAGGTAACGAGTGGAGGACAGAGGAGCCTCTTAAAGAAGAAGTTACAGGTCTGTGAGAGCCAGAAATCTTGCTTGTTTGTAGGTGACCAAATACTTATTTTCCACCATAATTTCCAAATAAATTCATAAAAAATCCTACAATGTGATTTTCTGGATTCTTTTTTCTTAGAGGCCTCTCTCATCTTTTTAAGTGGGAGAACTTGCACAATTGGTGGCTGACTAAATACTTTTTTTCCCCACTGTACATAATACATATTTTCATAACCATTGCAGAATAAATTCCTCACCACCTTTATGGCCATGACGAGTTCATATTCCCGAAGAAGCTTTAGCCCACAACAAATTACCATGTGCATCTCTCATTTAAGTTGGCCTATTATTTTTGCTCTATGCATCCGAAAGGGAGCGCGGTTTATAATACAGAACAATCTACAGTAGAATTTAACAGATGAACAGACAGTTTATATTTTGATTTGACTGCTACCACTGTATAGGCCTACTGATAAAAAAATAAAATGTAGACATACTTTACATTGTTTCAGAATTCAATGGCAGTGCAGAATTTTTAGGATCAGGAATAAATCAATGCAAAATATTATTGAATTCGAACGATCTGTTTACAGGTCCACGACAATTTGCAATTATTGTTTTCTTTAACAAACTTTCAAATACAGAAAATGTCACTCTAAAAGTTTTAAACATTCTGCCAAAGCCTCCAGAGACATTTAATCAAGTTCGCCATTGCTATTTCCTTAAGAGACTGCCTTGGCCTAATTCCAATACTTCCAAAGTATAAAGCAAATAAGGGCGTTATTGTCACCATAAAAGGTGAATGATGGGTGTTTTTCAGGCAGAGTTTTAATGCTCGTTCACGTGCGCAGTTTCAGGACAGGTCTGATTTATATAACGGGAAACATGCGTGCGCCAAGTCTATAAATCTCTATATTTTTATTTTTGTACGTGCGCAGTCTTTTCAGAAATTGTGCGCACAGCTATATAGTGTGAAAAGTACACAACAGTTATAAATGAGGCCGCTGAAGAGGGACTGATAACACAGCCTCAAGGCTCACCATTAACTTTTTATTTTAATGGTGTACGAGCACCACTTTTATGTGCCCGTTAAAAAGCATAAGGAGCCATGAAATCTTTATTTTTTGTTTAGTGAAGGTGGAAAAGTATGCAAATAGTGTTGGGGAACAAAGGCTTCTCTGTGCTGCACTGGTGTCGAGGCCAAAGCTGGCCTGGAGCTCTGCCATGACCTGGCAAACCAGACTTCACAACACTAGCCACACTTTGCCCCTTAGGTACTGATCTAGGATCAGAATACTTTGGTCCGATATCCTAAGTTTAACAATAAAGGGAAACTGACCTAAGATCAGCTTCACTTGATCCATTATTGACAGTCTTCTATGATGTAAAGTCCTACCAGGTTTAGGAAGTCAGTTTTAGTCTTAAACTGTTTCAACATGCAACTACTGCTAATGCAGCTTCTGGTTTCATTAGTTTTCACAGTTACAGTTTAATGTTAACAGTTAGGATTGGGAGTAGGACAAATGTGTTCTAGATCTGTGGGTAGGGGCACCTTCTACCTCAGGTTGGTACAACAGGGCACAGGTGTGTGTGTAGCAGGTGTGTTTGTGTGTGTTTACTTGTTTTATAGAAAAGTTATTCATGTAGGGGAGGAAGATAGGTAGAAAACCTCAGAGCTATCCAAAACAGATTAAACAAGATGGTAGTTTCTTTGTCTCATACATTAAATCTAGGTAAATGGTATGCCTGAAGGAGCATGGGACGTGTGTGTTCTTGGCATTGAAATTATCCTAGAATATTAAATTACTATATGTGACCTACTATATGTAATATCTGAGTCCTCTGGCGTTGTAAGTAATGTAAACTAAGTGTTGTGTGTCATGTGACATGTCAAGGAGAGCACACACAATGCCGTATTGTTTTGTCATGTATAAGGTGGCTCACCAAACTCCTCCAAATGGAGCATGTGTCTTATAGCTTTACCAATACATACAGTAAGTACTGGGTTTAGAGTTTTCTATTAAGGATGGATGTTGAGGTTATTCTATTTCAACCCTGTCAATAAGGATTATATACTGTAGTAGATTATCAATTTACAGTACAGGAAAGTAGGAGTTTATGGGCAAAGTTTCATTACAATGCAAGGTTGCATTTTCAGCAACTAGTTTTCGGATGTGACAGGGCTTGCAAACTATCGTGGATTACAAAGGGAAACCCAGTCGCGAGCTAAATGCCTTCTACACTCGCTTCGAAGCAAGCAACACCAAACCATGCATGAGAGCACCAGCTGTTCCGGACGACTGTGGCCTCACACTCTCCATAGCCGATGTGAGTAAGACCTTTAAACAGGTTAACATTCACAAGGCCGCAGGGCCAGACGGATTACCAGGACACCTACTCTTCACTGACATTTTCAACCTCTTCCTGACCCAGTCTGTAATACCTACATGTTTCAAACAGACCACCATAGTCCCTGTGCCCAAGAACACCAAGTTAACCTGTCCAAATGAATCACCCGGTAGCACTCACATCTGTAGCCATGAAATGCTTTGAAAGGCTGGTCATTGCTTACATCAACACCATCATCCCAGACCCACTGCAATTCGCATACCTCCCCAACAGATCACGCAATCTCTATTGCACTCCACACTGCCCTCTCCCACCTGGACATGAGGAACACCTATGTGAGAATGCTGTTCATTGACTACAGCTCAGCATTCAACACCATAGTGCCCTCCAAGCTCATTACTAAGCTAAGGACCCTGGGACTGAACACCTCTCTCTGCAACTGGATCCTGGACTTCCTGGCGGGCCGCCTCCAGGTGGTGAGGTTAGGCAACAACACATCCGCCATGCTCAACACAGGGGCCCCTCAGGGGTGCGTGCTTAGTCCCCTCCTGTACTCCCAGTTCAACCATGACTGAGTGGCCCCACACGACTCCAACACCATCAATAAGTTTACTGACGACACAACGGTGGTAGGCCTGATCACCGATGACGATGAGACAGCCTATAGGGAGGAGGTCAGAGACCTGGCAGTGTGGTGCCAGGACAACAATCTCTCTCTCAATGTCAGGAAGCCAAAGGAGCTGGTCGTGGACTTCAGGAAACGGAGGGCTGAGCACGCCCCATTCACATCGACGGGGCAGTAGTGGAACGGGTCGAGAGCTTAAAGTTCCTCCAAATGATTTGAGGGAGTGCGCACATGAGGCTATTCTGTGTTGAGCGGTTAACAAAGAAACAGGTACTCCTATATGCTTAATTTAGACGTATTTATGTAACTTTAGTTGTGATACAAATGTTGGGCTATATGATTAGATTTTAATACATTCTAAGGCATGATGCGACTCCAATGATGATTTGAAAAAAGTAGCATGAAAAGCATAAGCTCTGCTTTGTTTTTTGCGCAGGCTGTACACACTTCATCAGTCTCTCAGTCACAATTTGACAAGCATATGCCTCGAATTTCCCGGCGGCATCCCCTTTGTGTGGCCGTAATGCCCCTAAAAAAATCCATGCCTTTTGCGGCCAGTGGCCTTTGTGCCCTTGGGCTGAATATAATAAAATAATTCCCTTCTCCCGGCTTCATGTTCCAAAGCACCTCTCATTCAAATGGCTCTCCGTCACGTGATCAGGTCTTTCTCACAGGCTACATGTGAAGACAGACACATCCGTGGCCGCAACTGCGTGCGTCCTTATCCAATTCCAAGGCGCATATTGAAGATATTGGAAGAACGGTCCACATTTACTTTTCATCAGCCAACAAGATGAGTAGGCCTAACAAACAGCAAAAGCACTAGCCTATGTCAATCTACTAACCCCCATAGTACAAAAGTTTACCTATTCTATTCTGTGTGAGAAATAAATATTCCAAACATTGTCTGTGACAGTTGTGGGATGGGATAGATCACAAATTAATACAACCACTAGCATCAAATAAACATGTTTAAGCTATGAGGCTGACACAACAGATCAGAATGTTTACCTTAAAATGTTGCTAAATTATTAGGCTATTTCTTCACAAAAGTATTCAGCCCCCTTGGCGTTTTACCTATTTTGTTGCATTACAACCTGTAATTTAAATTGCTTTTTATTTGGATATCATGTAATGGACATACACAAAATAGTCCAAATTGGTGAAGTGAAATGAAAAAAAAATCAAAAAATTCAACAAGATAAATAACGGAAAAGTGGTGCGTGCATATGTATTCACCCCCTTTGCTATGAAGCCCCTAAATAAGATCTGGTGCAACCAATTACCTTCAGAAGTCACATAATTAGTTAAATAAAGTCCACATGTGTGCAATCTAAGTGTCACATGATCTGTCACATGATCTCAGTATATATACACCTGTTCTGAAAGGCACACATGTGGAGGAAGGGGCACCACCAAGCAAGCGACACCATGAAGACCAAGGAGCTCTCCAAACAGGTCAGGGACAAAGTTGTGGAGAAGTACAGATCAGGGTTGGGTTTTTAAAAAATATCTGAAACTTTGAACATCCCACAGAGCACCATTAAATCCATTATTAAAAAATGGAAAGAATATGGCACCACAACAAACCTGCCAAGAGAGGGCCGCCCACCAGAACTCACGGACCAGGCAAGGAGGGCATTAATCAGAGAGGCAACAAAGAGACCAAAGATAACCCTGAAGGAGCTGCAAAGCTCCACAGCGGAGATTGGAGTATCTGTCCATAGGACCACTTTAAGCCGTACACTCCACAAAGCTGGGCTTTACGGAAGAGTGGCCAGAAAAAAGCCATTGCTTAAAGAAAAAAATAGGCAAACACGTTTGGTGTTCGCCAAAAGGCATGTGGGAGACTCCCCAAACATATGGAAGAAGGTACTCTGGTCAGATGAGACTAAAATTGAGCTTTCTGGCCATCAAGGAAAACGCTATGTCTGGCGCAAACCCAACACCTCTCATCACCCGAGAACACCATCCCCAAAGTGAAGCATGGTGGTGGCAGCATCATGCTGTGGGGATGTTTTTAATCGGCAGGGACTGGTCAGAATTGAAGGAATGATGGATGGCGCTAAATACAGGGAGATTCTTAAGGGAAACCTGTTTCAGTCTTCCAGATATTTGAGACTGGGATGGACATTCACCTTCCAGCAGGACAATGACCCAAAGAATACAGCTAAAGCAACACTCGAGTGGTTTAAGGGGAAACATTTAAATGTCTTGGAATGGCCTAGTCAAAGCCCAGACCTCAATCCAATTGAGAATCTGTGGTATGACTTAAAGATTGCTGTACACCAGCAGAACCCATCCAACTTGAAGGAACTGGAGCAGTTTTGCCTTGAAGAATGGGCAAAAATCCCAGTGGCTAGATGTGCCAAGCTTATAGAGACATACCCCAAGAGACTTGCAGCTGTAATTGCTGCAAAAGGTGGCTCTACAAAGTATTGACTTTTGGGGGGGTGAATAGTTATGCACGCTCAAGTTTTCTGTTTTTTTTGTCTTGTTTCTTGTTTGTTTCACAATAAAACATATTTTGCATCTTCAAAGTTGTAGGCATGTTGTGTAAATCAAATGATACAAACCCCCCCAAAATCAATTTAATTCCAGGTTTTAAGGCAACAAAATAGGAAAAATGCCAAGGGGGGTGAATACTTTCGCAAGCCACTGTATAATCGCAGCAATGCGAACATGGCAGTAGGCTATAAGCGCGAATGTTCCATTCGCGGGAAAACATCATTATCAAAAGTGACCGCAAATGCAATTATGCATGTGATGGTTTTATTATAAAGGTGCATTTTTATGGTGAAAATTATCTTCCCCAAACTTGAAACTCATGTGCTGCGTATGTATGTCAAGTAGGCTCGACACCCGTTGTAAAGCGGATTAATGTGCTTAATTTTAAGAAGTAATTTGGCCACTTTAGTTGCGATACAAACCTTATCAAAACATATAGGCCTATGGGCTAGGCTACATGAGGTGTGCGACTATGATTTGAAAAAGTTGCAGAAAAAGGCATGTGTTTCTTGCCTAACTGCACACAAGTTGGGCATCATTCACAAGTGATAATATATCATTCAGAAGTGATAGGCTAATATTGTCACCAATCAGACTATTTTTGATTTAATCTTGTCTTTACATATACAGTACTAAATAATATATGTGTGAAATTTGTTTTGATTTAGAATGGACCATTATCATGCACCCGTCTCGAAACAGGGGCAGGGGGAAGAAATACATGTAATCTATGCACTTAAATAGCGAATGGAGGACGCTTTTCCCGTGGTTCATGTTCATGCCAGCCAGGTAGGCTGTACTGTTGTTGTAAAGAGAAGCAATGTGCTTACTATTAGGAAAGTTGAGAAATAAATATAGTAGGCCTAGCCTATAGAAAGGTGATCGGATACTCGTCTTTTTATTAGTGGCCATCCCTCTGTTTTCTCCCGCAATTGCATAGCCTATAGAAATGTTGCGCAATATGAGCTCTCATTAAGTGTTTGATTAGATGTTCGAATACATTTGCATTGATGTCATTATGTGTTATTACTTTTCTATTATTTCTCTATTTTCTTTCTCTCTGCATTGTTGGGAAGGCCCCGTAAGTAAGCATGTCACTGTTAGTCTACACCTGTTGTTTACGAAGCATGTGACGAATAAAGTTTGATATGGTTTGTTGTAGTTGTTGATCCGATTGGGGCAAGAGATTTCGTTTGAACACCTCAAGACTCACAAGACTCACTTAAACCCCATGGAGAGTAGCTGCTAATGGTGATCCTAATAAAATACCAAAATTAAACTATTATTTTACAGATTATCTCAAGAGTTGTAGTTTTTGTCCCTAAATAAATGCCTCTCAACTTAATCATTTTCTCACCTCCTCCCTCTAACTCCCCCTCTCTCTTTCCCATTCTCTCTATTCTCAGGTGTTCCAGGCATGTGGGAATCCGAGGGAGGGAGGAACCAGCAGCACTGGGTTGGAGGAGGTGAAGAGGAGGGGGAAGGTTACAGTGGAGACCAGCCCAACCTCTGGGGCTAGGCTGGAGAAACTGGTCAGTGTTACTGTCATCATCTCTCCCTCTCTCTCTCTCTCTAACTTGATATACGATACGGATTCTGTTTAGTCGTGTTTACTCTTACTCTGTGAAGAATGCAAAAATAGTAATGCTACAGTCAAGAATGCAATGAGTCAGATGAATATGAAATGTGAGGAAATGGAAACAACCATCATTGTCTCCCAAAAATAAACACACTGTTGTTGTTTGTTTGTTGCTCATACAGAAGCAATTTGCAGAAAGTGTGAATGCTTGAAACAAACTTGATGTTGAATAGCTTTTGATAGTAGTTTCCAGTACACAGGCTGTATTCATTAGGCACCAAATGAAAGAAAGGGGACTGAAACAGGGAGGGACTATATGAACTTGTCCAATAAGAAATGCTAATTTTCCTTTTCCATTACAAAACGCCCCCAGGTGTCTGATGTGTCGAGTAGGCTGAGGGACATGCAGCCCTACTGGGTCTCGTTACCCAGCACCCTCTGCAGTGACAGGGTGGCCACTAGGACCCAAGCAGACAAGTGCTGGAACGGCATGGCCCGTGCCAGGTAGGACCCCTAAACCACGTCTGTGTGTGTGCATGCATGCTATGTGTGTGTGTGTATGAGTGTGTAATGTCTGCATCTGTGTCTGTGTACGTGCTCGCATGCATGCATATTTGCGTGTGTGCCTCTTTGTGCCTGCATCATGCATGTGTGAGTGTGTGTGTATTTGAGTACCCCCCAGTGATCCTCTCTCCTTGTCTCCCAGGTACCTTCCAGAGGTAATGGGTGACGGCCTGGCTAGTCAGATCAACAACCCTGAGGTAGAGATCGACATCACCAAGCCAGACATGACTATACGCCAACAGATCATGCAGCTCAAAATCATGACCAACCGCCTCAAGAACGCTTTCAATGGCAACGATGTGGACTTTCAGGACACCAGTGAGTATAGATCTAGGATCAGCTCATCCTATGCGAATACTGACTCCAACCATAGAGGGAATATTGAAATATGGACCTTACCTAATCTTACTCCTGAGGGCAAAAGCTGTGTGGACTACAGAGAGGTCTCCCTCATGGTCAAAACACTATGAAAGAGATTGTGTCATATGTTGACATTATATGACTAATGGAAATATTTTATATGTTGTTTTGATTGTCTCCATTATTGTTCCATGTCATTTCAGCAAACCATGACACCCACCATCTCAGATTGTTCTGAAATCGTTTATGTAGTAGAAATAGATAAGATAAGAATTCCAGAAGCAGTATTTTATTGAATATAATTAGATTAAGCTAATTGATTTATAGGATTAATATAAAATGCAATAATTATTGTACCTAACATCCGATTTGGACCAAACATTTTCTAACAATCAGTAAAACATGAGTAATCCAAAGAAAAGGTCAAAAGCCATACACGGTCCCCCCACACCAATCCCACCCCAACAACGATCAGTATCATCAGTTCTATATGTTTGACAAGTAGTATGGAGCTGCGGCTCAGAGTATTGTTTCTTCATCCTATGTAATGTATTCTTAGTGAATTTGGTGATGTTTTTTTCCCCTGTTCAGAGATATTTGTCATTGAAGTTGTTGGATTGATGTCGCATCCTACATCCTTATAGTACCAGGTTCTGACCACTAGATGGTGCTGTTCCTGTTATTAGGTTAGTTAGTTTTTTAAGAATCCCCCCCCCCCCCCCATTGTTAAAGGGATAGTTCACCCAAATTACACAATTACATATTGGTTGTCTTACCCTGAAAGCAGTTTGTGGACCAAGTATGACAGCAACCCATGCTTTAGTTTTGTTTACCTGACCACTGTTTCAAATGCTAAAGTTTTAGCATTTGTGGCACAAATCCAATGCATGTTAATGAAATTAGAAAAATTTGAATTTTTGTGCTTCATATCCAAATCATCTATAAGTAACATCATTGAGTTACACAATACATTTTTAGATACTTTAGGATGATTTGGACATGAAGCATGAAAATGCTAATATAGGTATCATTGACTTGCATTGAATATGTGACACAAATGCTAAAAAGTTAGCATTTGAAACAATGGCTTGGTAAACAAAACCAAAGCATGGGTTGCTGTCATACCAGGGGGGGCAAGCTAGATCTACTCAGGGTTTTCTAAAGCTAACCAGCTTCAGTTAGCTTCACATTCTGTTACGCTATGGTTAAACCCAGCACTCAGAGAAACAAAACACGACTAAGGGAGTGGAAGAAACAAAAATTATTTTAATAAAAGTTCAATTTGTCTTAGTCCAAAAAACAACTGAAGAAAAGGAACAGAGTGGGCTAGTCGGCTCCGGAGGAAGGAGAGGCTGAGGCAGGCAGGCAGGAAGGCAGGCAGGCAGGCTGGGAGGTATGTCTGAACTGAAGACAAAACAAACGACAGGTTAAGGAGAGTAAAAAGCCAGGCTGAAGACAAAGACAATATAACTTTACTGGTGAGCCAAGTTACCGCTCTAGTAAGAACAACGATCTGGCGCCTGTGGAGAGCCATGCCCAGGAATTAGTAGTGCAGGTTGATGAGAGAATAAGATGCAGCTGCGTAGGCAGGAATCACTGGAAACAACCCGCAGCTGCACAGGAGAGGCAGATCCTGAGCACGCCCCCCGATCCACTCCAGACACACCCACATAATGGGGACAAACACACATACAGATACAACAGACAAAGAGGGGACAAAACAAGGAGGAAGGGAAACAGAAAAGGGAGAGACAAGCTGCCCACATAACAGTACCCCCCCCTCAATGGTCGCCACCTGGCGACCCACCAGGCCTGTCAGGGTTGTCGTGATGGAAGTCCGTGATCAGCTGAGGATCCAACACAAAACGCTTAGGGACCCAAGACCTCTCCTCTGGTCCATAACCTTCCCAATCGACTAGGTATTGGAGACCCCTACCCCGCCTCCGAGAGTCCAGGAGCCTACTGACGGTGTAGGCCGGATGGTCGTCAATGAGGCGAACAGGTGGAGGTGGATCTGCCGGCGGACACAAAAGGCTGGAGGACACAGGTTTCAGTTGGGAGACGTGGAAAGTAGGGTGTATCTTCATGGCTGAAGGCAACTTCAAACGAACCGCAGCGGGGTTAATGATGGACTCCACCACAAACGGACCCAGGAGACAGCTTGCGTGATTTGGTACGAAGAGGTACGTTCTTAGATGACAGCCAAACCTCTTGACCAGGATGAAACACAGGTGCGGGAGTCCTGCTCCTATCCGCTGTCGTCTTGTTCCTGTCGGTGGTCCGAAGCAACGCTTCCCGAGCGTCGCTCCACACTCTCTGGCAGCGGCGGAGGTTCTCCTGAACCGAAGGAACAGCCAATTCCTTCTCCTGAGCAGGAAACAGAGGGGGTTGATAACCCATGGTAACTTCGAAGGGTGAAAGGCCGGTGGCAGAGGTGGTGAGGGAGTTGTGGGCGTACTCTATCCAAGGCAGATGTTTGGCCCAGGATGATGGATGTTGAGCAGCCACACAACGAAGGGTTGCTTCGAGGTTTTGATTGGCTCTTTCTGTTTGACCGTTGGTCTGGGGATGAAACCCTGAGGACAGACTAACGGAAGCACCCAAAGCAGAACAGAAAACCTTCCAAACACGGGAAGTAAACTGTGGGCCTCTATCAGATACGATGTCCACAGGTATTCCATGGGGACGGAATACATGTTGGACTAGGAGGTCCGCTGTCTCACTGGCAGACGGTAATTTTGGTAATGCTATATAGTGAACAGATTTAGAGAATCTGTCCACAATGGTAAGTATAGTATCATTACCTTCAGACTTGGGTAGGCCGGTGACAAAATCCATGGCTATGTGGGACCAGGGACGGCTGGGAACTGGGAGGGGTAGCAGCAGCCCCGAAGGGGACTGATGGGAGGCTTTGCCCCGAGCACAGGTTGAACAGGCTGCCACAAAAGCCCGAACGTCAGTTTCCATTGAAGGCCACCAAAAATGTCTCCTAAGCAGCGTCAACGTGAGTCTCATCCCAGGGTGACCAGCAAAACGGGAGGTGTGAATCCACTGCAACACCTGAGACCGGACCGTCTCGGGAACAAAGAGTAGGTTGGGAGGTCCATCACCCGGTCCCGGGTCCGTGGCAAGTGCAGTCTTCACAAGAGACTCGATCTCCCACTGTACTGCCGCCACGACGCATGAGGAAGGCAGGACTGCCTCAGGCTCGCTGGTCTCCGAAGGGTCAGCAAACTGGCGGGACAAAGCATCTGGTTTAACATTTCTTGACCCCGGTCTGTATGTAAGAATAAAGTTAAACCTACTAAAAAACAGGGCCCATCTGGCTTGGCGTGAGTTGAGTCTCTTAGTGGCTTGGATGTAAGCCAAGTTTTTGTGGTCTGTCCAGACCACAAACGGCAGTTCAGCTCCATCCAGCCAGTGCCGCCATTCTTCCAGTGCTAGCTTGACCGCCAGTAGTTCCCGGTTTCCAACGTCGTAATTCCGTTCTGTGGGTGACAATTTCTTGGAGAAAAAAGCACAGGGGTGAAGCTTTTGGTCAGTGGGGGAGCGCTGGGAGAGGACTGCTCCCACACCTGAGTCCGACGCGTCCACCTCCACAACAAACTGCAGAGAGGTATTGGGGTGTATCAACACGGGGGAGGTGGAAAACAGTTCCTTCAAAACCCCTACCGCCTGCTCCGCCTCAGGGGACCACAGCAAAGGGACTTTTGGGGATGTGAGTCTAGTAAGGGGTGCCACCACTTTACTAAAACCCTTAATGAATCTACGGTAGAAGTTAGCAAAGCCCAAAAATCGCTGAAGTTGCTTACGGGTGGTGGGTGTGGGCCATTCCGTCACTGCCCGGATCTTCTCGGGGTCCGCCTTCACCTGCCCGCTCTCAATGATGAAACCAAGGAACGATGTAGACTGTTTGTGGAACTCACACTTTTCTGCTTTGACGTACAGCTTGTTCTCCAAGAGCCGTTGAAGGACTTGACGGACGTGTGACTCATGCTCCTCGGGTGACTTGGAAAAAACAAGAATATCATCCAGGTATACAAAGACAAAACGGTTCAAAAAATCCCTGAGAACATCGTTCACCATGGCTTGGAAAACAGCAGGGGCGTTTGAGAGCCCAAAGGGCATGACCAAATACTCAAAATGTCCCAGTGGAGTGTTGAAAGCGGTTTTCCACTCATCTCCCTTTCGGATTCGGACAAGGTGATAAGCGTTCCTGAGGTCGAGCTTGGAGAAAACTGTGGCGCCATGCAGAGGTTCAAAAGCAGAGTTGATGAGTGGAAGGGGATATTTGTTTTTAACAGTTATGTTGTTTAAACCCCTGAAATCGATACAGGGGCGTAACGACTTGTCTTTCTTTTCCACAAAAAATAAACCTGCACCCAAAGGAGACGACGAGGGACGGATTATGCCCGAGGCCAGAGAATCACCAATATACTGCTCCATTGCCTCTCTTTCCGGTCGGGACAGATTGTATAAGCGACTAGAGGGCAAGGGAGCACCAGGAAGCAGTTCAATAGGGCAATCATAAGGCCTATGTGGTGGTAGAGACAGAGCCTTGTCCTTACTGAAAACCTCCGCTAAGTCATGGTATTCTTTGGGGACAGATGACAGATCGAGAGGAGCTGAGGGATGAGTTGGGTTACACTTAGTGGGGGGAACCGCTGACCTAAGGCACTCTGAATGGCAGTTAGTGCTCCAACTGAGAATGGTGTGACGTGTCCAATCAATTTGTGGGTTGTGAAGAGCCAACCAGGGGAAGCCAAGGATTAGGGAGGTAGCTGAGCCAGACATAACTCTTAACTGAATGCTTTCACAATGATTGCCAGAAATCACTAGGGAAACGGGGGTGGTTTGATGAGTTATCTCCGCGAGGAGGCGCCCATCAAGGGCTGTGACCCGAATGGGGGTAGGTAGTGGCTCCATGGGGATACGAGCTTGTGTAACGAACTGGTGGCTAATAAAGTTGTCTTCTGCACCTGAGTCTATGAGAGCTGAGAGTGGCAGGGAATGACTCTGGAAACGTAAGGTTACAGGTACTTGTAATCGGGGAATGATGGGTTCAGGATCTAACTCTGGGCTCGCAAGTAGACCCACCGTTACGAGCGAG